CACCTCATCAGGATCGGCTTCTTTTTCAATGATGGCGAACTTGTCACTAAAAATATTGACAAGGCCAACAGGTGCGTTGTTGCTTCACCCCCGTCTCTTTATGACCGCTTTTTTCAGCCTTATCGAAGAGGGTGGTGATTGGGACAGACGAAATCGCCTGAAGGTGTACCGGGGTCTTCACAGCCTCTCCGTTCGGGATTTTGATTCGGCTGCTAAACACTTTTTGGACGCTGTGGCTACGTTTACCAGCTATGAGTTAATGGATTATAAGAGTTTCATAATCTACACCGTGCTGACGGCCATGATTGCACTTAAGCGACAAGATCTCCGCACTAAGGTATGCCTCTTTCATATTTTGTTGGTTTGTGCCCTGGTTATTTCGCTCATAATTTACATTCTTGTCTGTTCTACGAAATATAAACCTCCCTTAACTTGATGAACTTTCCGGGTATTTGCCATGTGCTAACAATTCCCAGAAAAACACCACGAGTTACCGATATTTTTTTAAAATGGGGCTATTGGATAGATAGACGTAGTATCAGTGAGTGCTCGTTCATTTGTTGGCATAAAATATCGCTACTACCACCTGTACAAGTAGTTAGTATTTACTCAGTTAGAAATACATGTTGACTTAGACTGAAGTAGAGCTCGCGAGCTGCCCCTCCGGTCACCAGTCATCACAAGCTGTGCTCGTTTTAAAAATATGTTTGAAAGCATCCTAATTAATCGGTTAAAAAATCCAAGGCATTAATTAATGCCTTGACTGGCGTCTGTGGGATCCGCATTCAACGAAACCAGTGGGTGCGAACATCCATCGATACATTAGCTCTTATATTGTCCTAATTTCTGTCAAAAGACATGCAGGAAGATCATCGCTACGATCGCCTCTATACTGCTTTCCGATGTTTTATTATCATCGGCACTTGCCTACTTAGCGACTTGTCCTCGGAATTCGCAGAATTTGTCCTTTCTACGGCCATGTACGAATGAGGCTGTTATTCTTTGTGAAAGCCTACCAGCACGTAGCTTTAAGCTGAATTTAATCTGCATTTCCACATTTAACTCAATAATTGCGGTTTTGTAGTCTGCTCTTTTTCCCTCAAAATAAACTGTTTCACGATCTTTGTGATTCCCTCGTCTAATAAACCACAAAGGAACCTATGTGGGGAGATATATAATGATACATAAAGATACATAATTAAGACTAATATTCATTCTCACTGGTCTATTTTCCTATGTTGTCTCGCATACGACACCATTTTCTAAGTCGAAAATATCTTGTTGATTCTCACTCTAGCACCCAAAGCCACATATTTTTTCCAGACACCACCTGACCACAACAAATGTTTTACTGGTTATTTGTCCTATTATGAACCCTTTCAGGGATCCTAGATAAATGTATCGTTTTGCGACTTGAAGGGCCTTTTCTTATTGCGTTAGGTCATAAGCGGTTCCGAGGTACAAGAGGTCCTACACAGTCTCCCTGCCGTCAAGGAATACTTGGATTCCCTCTTTGAGTGCAGATACGCTGACTTCTTCCTCTATCTCGGTAAGTCCTTTAATGAACTCTGCTATCGAGCTCAGCTTTTAACAATGCTTACCAGCTACAGTTTGACGGATTCCTGTTTTGTAATAATTTAGACCGTTACAAGCGAATTCATCATTATCGAAGGTCAAGTACTGCTCGATTTACCCTATTTAAAGCGTAGTTACATCTAATTTAGTTTATTTTGGGGAAATATACTCCTTAGCATTTTTGGGTACCATAAAAGTTTGAATGGAATTAATGGGGTTGAAGGGGGAAAATAACTCTCGTTCATGGACTATAAATATATGCGAGATAGAACCGTCATGCTCATGAGATTTTGCAAACGTTCGAAATACTTCTTGTCGTGGGAGAACTCCTCTAATGACAGGGGCCGCTATTCACCACCGCATAACCTCACAACTAGCAACAAGAGGAGAGAAAGAGGAACCCGTCTTGGGGATAATTACCACACTAAGGATCGAAACGAGGGGGAACTTAAAGGTCACTAAGATAATCATCAAAATGTAGAAGATGCGTTCACGATACTCCCTTGCCGATTGCAGAGT